CCCCTCACCAGGCTCTGGCCCCAGGTTGGCCTTCGCCGGAACGCCACATCACGCTACCCCTCCTTTCAGACACGTCCTCTGGCCTGTCCACCACCCTCAGGACCCCTCCTCAATCCAGAGATGCCCACCTTCTCTCTGTGCCTGCCCTTGGTCCCAAAAAACCCCTTGGGCCCAACGCCTATGGTCCTCCGGGAGCCCCGTCTCCTGTGCGTGTCCTGACACCCTCCTGGTGGCTCCCCCCCCAACTGGGCTCAGGGAGAGCCCAGGGAAGCTCTCGGACCCCCTCTGGGGCTGCACTCCCGCAGGGCGAGCCCCCGGGGGTCTCTCTGGCCCTTTGAGCTGGAGTGGGGGAGGCTTGCCGAGCAGACCAGATGGGGACCAGGACTGCAGCCTGCAGTGGGCCCCGCCCTGGGGTGCTCCACCGGGTTGGGGTGTGGCCCTTCTGCATGTGCTTCCTCGAATAACATAGGGGTGCCTCTGTGGGGACCTGGGGGCAGGCAAGCTGTGGGACAAACCCCAGCCCAGGTACATGTCTCCAAGACCCGGGGCCTCTCTGCCCTGCCCCACACCATGAGGTCAGGACGGCCGGATGTTCCAAGGACTGCACAATGCCCGCAGCCCAGGATTCCTGACCTGTCTCCGGTCATCCTGGTCACTGCTCCCCGGGACCCAGGGCACCTGCACCAGAGAGGCCTCACTGCCCAGCTCCGTCCCCACAGCCCAGGCCCTGGGGGGCCTCCCTCCAGGCACAAGGAGTGGGGCAGACGGCCCCCGGTAGGGGGTGTGCTGGATACTCTGGTGCCAGCACCTCTCGTCCCCAACAACACCCCCCCCCACACACACACACACAGCCAGAGGGGCTGGCGACTCACTCAGTCGCCCTGCGTTCCTGGGTGAGGAGCCCAAGGCACCCAGCTCAGCGGCAGCACCTGCTGGGGCGGGGGGTGGAGGGCAGGGAAGCCTGGGGACCTCAGGCCAGGTGCCGGCCTCCCCTGTGGGTCAGTGGGGCCAGTGGCATTGAGGTCCGATGCCCACTGATGGCCTGTACTTTGGATCCAAGCAGGCCACTTCCTGGCAGGAAGGGGGAAGGGAGGGGCCTGAGGCCAGGTCAGTCAGCACCCCCCTGAGCCCCATGCCAGAAAGATGGGATCCCACCCCAGCACCTTCCTCCTCCCCGGGGCAGGGGTAGACCCCTTCGGTTACTGATGACCATGACCTTGACCTCCGTGGGCCGCCCACAGGGGCCTCCACGGAGCGGGGAAGGGCCCGGGGAGACGCCCCACTGCCTCAGCCATAGCCAGGGGCCAGGGTGCACGGGGCCTCTGTGGGCAGGTGCCAGGCCAGCTGACACCTTCCCAGCCCTGGTGCCGGTGCCGGTGACGGTGACGGCAGCTCACACGGGCAGGCGACGGCCCCTCAGCCCTGCTGTCCAGGCCTCCGCGCTGCCCAACCTGTCCCCTCTTTATTTCCTTTTGGTGCTGCTTTTGCTACAGCACATGGGGCTCTGGGCCAGCTGGGGCCTGGCTGCCTGGAAGGGTGGGTGGGGCTGCCAGGGAGCTCCAGGGGTCACTTCCCTTTTCCGAGAAGCTTTGGCACCCAAAGCATGCCAGGGTTTCGTTTTAGGGGGCCGCATCGGAGAAAAGAAAGTTAGCGAGGCTCCGACAATGGCAGGCCGCTTTCCGATCTGTCCCAGCCTCTCTTCCTGGGAAGCCGGGCCGGCCTAGGGCTGAGGAGGCCAGGAAGGGCAGCCCAGCTGGGAGCAAAGCAATCAGAGGTCAGAGGTCAGGCCATGGCCTGCGCCTCCTGGCAGGGCAGGGGCCAGAGCAGAGAAGATGCGGCCTGGCAGGCAGTGGGGGGCCCACGAGGAGGGGCTGCGGGCCACCCTGGGCCGGGCCGCAGCGTACTCAGGATTCCGGTTCTTTCCGCCGGGACTTTGGGGTTCTGTGCAACCCCAAGGAAAGTCCCTCCGCTCTGGAAGCTGCTCAGACCCAAGCCAGGGGCTCTGAACGAGCCTTGACAGGAAGCTGGCCCAGACGCGGGAAGGCGCAGGGAGCCTGGGGCCAGCCCCAGGGAGCAGGGCCAGGGCCCCGGGCAGAGGGGGCCCCGGCAGCCTCCCGCACCAGGGCGGGTGGGAAGGGAAGGCGCCCGCCCGCCCAGGGACAGCCCGGCGGGGAGCCGGGCAGGCTCCTGGGGCTCAGGCAGCCTCTGCCCTGTGCTGCAGCCTCCGCGCCGCTGGGCTGCTTGAGGGAAGAGCCCCACGCAGCCAGAGGAGCCCCTCTGCACAGCCCCGGGCCCCAGGCTTTGCAGGCAGGGCTGGCTCCAACGAGGATGGATCCTGTGGCCGCACAGGGGTACCTGCAGGCACGGGGCCCCCAGCACACCCCACAAGTGGTGCTGTCCTTGGTGCCCCCACGGCTCTGGGGCCAGGGTGGGGAGAGGGGCCCATGGCAGCTCGGGGGGGGGGGGCCCACCTCTGCAGAGCCTCCTGGGCTGAGAACTGAGGAGTGGGACGGTGGGGGACGGGAGGCTGGCTCACACCCTGCCCCACAGGTGCCAAGTCCAGCAGGGCACCCGCTTGATACACACAGGCCCCGACCCAGAGTGCTGAGGAAGAGGAGGGCACTCTGGGAGCTGCCCAGACCGGGGGGGAGGGCAGCACTGGAGGGAGGGGCCTGAGTACCCCCAGTCGGATCCCACCCAGAAGTCGGGAGGGCTCCCGGGTGGACCAGGGCCTCAAGGAACTGAAGTGGACAGTGGACCGGCTTCCTGTCCTGGGGACAGGGGGACCTTCGGGGTCTGGGAGGGGGTGGTCCTCGAGGCTGGGCCGACCCCTCGGAAGGCCCCAGTAGTTCCGGGTCTGTGTCTGGAGGCGGAGGGCCGGAGGCACCCGGACGTAGGGAAGAGGAGGCTCTGTCTCCTGCGTCTCCACCCACAACCCAGCCTTGAGTCGCCCAGTGGGGCCCGGCCCCCGGCCCTCGTCTCTGGAACCTCAGCAGAGGGGCCAGGGAGGCACCCCCTTCCTGCAGGCCACGCCGCCTCCTGGGCCCGTGGCTGGCACCCCACGCCCACAGCCAGGCCCTGGACACAGCCCGCCCTCCGGGTGGGCCTGGGCCACGAAGAGCCTTCAGCCGGGCCCCTCCAGCTCCCTGGTGTGTGGGCACAGCAATGGGGACCAGAGTCACTCTCTGCCTCTCTGGGCCTCAGTTTCCCCAAGGGCATCCTGGGCAAGAGCCCTTGCCGGGTGGAGCTGGGGCTGGGGTCAGGGCAGACGGCAGTGCCCAAAGGCCCTGGGTGGGGGGAAGGCTGCTCGGGGGGCTGGAGAGCACTGTCCCCCGCTCCCCCCACCCCCCACTGGCCATCTTCCCTCTCTCTCGCCTGCCGGGGGTACTCCGTGGAGGTGGCCCTGGCCTCACACCTGGGCTTGCCTGTGCCCGGCACAGTCCCACGTGGGGTGCTGAGCACTGGCCCCCAGAGCCCCTGCTGGACCCTGCGCCTGCCCTCTGGCCTCAGCTCGTGTCCACCCGGCCACCGGCCCTAACGCACAGGCCTGAGCTTCCTCCCACCCTCAGCGAAACCCCTCCCTGCTCACCTGCCACCCCCCTCACAGCAGGTGCATCCACCTCCAGGCAGGACAGGAGCAGTCCCTTGAGGCCTCGGCTTCTGCATCCCTCGAACCCATCAGTGGTGACCCCCCAGGCCTGTCCATCCCCAGCCAGAGTGGGCAGCACCCACCTCACCTGCACAGGCGTCGCTGGGTGGGGCTCCAGGGCTCAGGCGCCTTGGGCGGGCCTGGCAGGGGGCCGGGGGGCGGCACTTCCCAAACTCCCTGGGCAGAGCCCTGTGCTGCAGGACAGACCTGGGGACACACTGTCCTCCTGAGCCCCCTCAAGCCTGTGGTTAGGTGGCTGCCGGCCTGGGACTGGCTGCCTGGCCACCTCGCCGCCCCGCCTCTGCCGCCCACCTGTGGGGCTGGCTCAGCGTGAAGAAGCGTGTGAGAACTTAGACCGGAGCTAGCTCACCTGACCGCTCCTCCAGCAGGGGCCCCGACCTCTGTGCCCTCGGGGCCGAGGCCGGCCTGCCCACCAGGCTCCTCGCACTTGGGACCAAGTGCGGGTGTCTCAGCAGCCCCCAGGGCCCGACTCAGGGCACCCCCGGAGACCAGCCGAGTGAGCGCCCCAGTGGGTGGACAGGTGGACCAGTGGGCTGATGGAGGACCACTAGGTGGGTGAACGGAGGGCGCCCCACCCCAGCCCTGCCCGTCCAGGTCATTTCCTCCCACTTCCTGCCCCCGCCCTCGGTGTGACTCCGTTCCTCAGCCCGACTGCAGCAGCAGACTGTAGACTCGGGCTCTGCAGACCAGGGGTGTGGCCGGCACCTGGGCCGTGGGACACGGGGACCAGGCCTCGGGGCCCTGCTGGACCCAGACGGCCTCCTGGCAGCCCCAGTGTGAGAGCAGGGCCTTCACGCTCCCACCTGGCCCAGCTGCGCCCTCACACCTGGCCGCAGTTCCCACCGCCGCCTGGGCCCAGCCTCCCTCACTACTGCTCCTGGCCACACCCCCGCTTTCTGCACCTGGAAGGCCTGGCCACGCCCTCCGCCCAGACTCTCCCAGTGGTCAGCAGGGCAGCATGGGCCCTCTGCATGGGCACCCCTGCTCCGCCAGAGCCTGGGCCCTCTCCTCCCTCCACCTGACTGGGCCTCTTCAAGAAGAGGCCGGCGGTTCTCCTGGGCCCAGCCTGACATGGTCCCCAGTCGTGAGATGGCAATGCCAGCCCCGGTGGCCTCGCTCCCTGTCCTTCTCCCGGACAGACACTCCTGCCCACTCTGCCCAGTGTGATGGGGACAGGACGGGGTGGCTGGGAGCCTCACACTGGACCTTCCGGTCTGGAAGGGGGAGCCCAGCCCAGCCCCCTCCTCACAGGAACGGGGCCGGGACTGCCCAGGGACCAGTGGCCCCTTCTCCCACTCGACCCCCCAGCCCCATAAACACACCACATCCGTTACCTACAAAACAATTTAATCGAAATCCCCGTATAAAAAATAGGATTTGCAGACATCTCACTTTTGAACGGAAAGAACCCCGCCCCTGACGCCTGCACACCAGGGCCACAAACACGGCTGCTAAAATAAATTAATGACTTGAGACTCTGCCCCCCACCCCCCAACTTCCAGAGCCAACAAGCGGACTGTACAAGGTCAATAATTTAAAGCCCACCCCTGGGGGGTCACCACCCTTCCACGAGCCACCGGTGGCGCAAGCCCGCCCCTCCGCGGGCGCGGGTTGGGTCGGGCCGAGGCCCTCGCTTGGCCACCGCCCCCCCGCCCCGGGGCCTGGAGGAACGGGACTGTCCAGGAGGGCCCCCCACAAATAAATTAAACAATAAATAGACCTCTGCGGGGGTCACACCATAAATAGACGTTCTCGGGCTCACAGGCGCGCACACAGGCGGCGCGCCGGTGTGGGCGGGGCCTGAACGTTGCATTGCTTGTGCAGACGTGCCCAGACGCACACGGAGGGGTGAGGGCGGGCGCGGGGGTGGACACGGGGACTCTGTGCCCCGGCGAAAGGAGGCCACAGGACACAAGTGCTCTTGGTCCAACTTGGTCAGATGAGGAGGTGCTGGGTGCCCACAGGGCCGCCCTGCGGAAGCACAGGACAGGGACGGTCTCGGCGTCAGGCCCCGCCCCCGACAGGCGGGGCCTGGCCTCGGCCGAGGTCTTTGGACAGACAGAGCTCGAGAGAACCAAGTCCTGTGAGAGCAGCGTTCGAAAAGGCACTCAAAGCAAAGGGAAGGGCCCGGTGCCAGAAGTGAAGGTCACCCGGGGTCAGAGGTCACTGCCTTCTCAAGGAGCAGGCAGCCCTGGTGGGAGAGGTCCCTCGAAGGCTGGGGCAGGCGCAGGTCGCTCCTCACAAGCTCTCACTGCTGGAGGTGGTGCTGGCCCCATCGTCCGCGTCCAGGGAGCAGAGACGAAGGTCACAGTTCTCTGAGGGGCCCCCGTCTGCCCCCAGCATCCAGGGGTGGGTGGAGATTTGGTCCAGCGAGGGCCGCTCCGAGGGCCGCAGGGACAGGCACCACTGAATGAGCTGCTGGCACTCTGGGAGGGAGGGAGGACGGAGGGTCAGGAAGGGGCCAGCTCCTGGGGTCTGTCACCCCCGCAGCCCTCCCAGGCCCCTCTGCACACCTGGGGAGACCCTCCTCCGGAAGAAGAGGCGGCCCCGCAGAATCTCCTCGTCCTGCTCGAAGGGGATGTCCCCGCACACCATGTCATAAAGCAGCACGCCCAGAGACCAGACGGTGGCGGAGCGCCCGTGGTAGCGGTGGTAGCGGATCCACTCCGGGGGGCTGTACACCCGGGTGCCTGGGGAACACGCAGAGTTAGGGCTCCAGCACCAGGCGGAGTGGTCAGCCCCGGACGCGCACACTGAGACCCTGCCCACCCAGTCGATGGCCCCAGAGGCCTGAGCCGGAAGAGGGAGCCAGCCTCCAATCCTGCTAGTCATCAGCCTGGAAAAACCCCGCAGGCGTGGCCTTCCCCTGTGGGGGGAGGAGCCGGTCACATGGGCGCAGGCTCGGGTTTCACAACAAACAGATGTGAGGTGAGGACGGGAGGGGGGACTGCGGGGAGAGGCGGCGGGAGGAGGAGGGAGGACAACGAATGGGCAGGCGGGCGGGGAGCCCCGGCTTCCCCGCGCTCCGCAATGCGGGGATTTCTGCCCGCGCCCCGGCGCTCCCGCGGCACGCACACGGCCCCCGCCCGCGCGCAGGGAAGGCCGGCGCCGCGCCGGCTCCGCCCGCACCAGTGCCCCTGCGCAGACGCACAAGCAGCCACCCCCCGACCCCACAGCCCCCCGGCTCGCCGCAGCGTCAGCCTCGAGCCAGCCCGTCGCCCCCACTGCCACGAACGGGCTCGTGTCCCGGCTCAGCGCCTACGCGAACGTGCCCGAGGCGGCGCGGGCTCAACAGCCACCAGGCCCCCACCGAGGACGTTAGCCACCGGCCGTTGGCAGACCCCGCGGCCCTGCCCGGGCTCACCGTCGAAATCCGTGTACACGGTGTCCTTGAGCAGCGCGCCGGAGCCGAAGTCGATGAGCTTAAGTTCCCCCGAGCGCAGGTCCACCAGAAGGTTCTCGTCCTTGATGTCGCGGTGCACCACCCCGCAGGCGTGGCAGTGGCGCACCGCGGCCAACACCTGCGCGAAGAAGCGGCGCGCCAGGGGCTCGTCCAGGGCGCCGCGCTCCGTGATGAAGTCGAAGAGGTCCTGGGCCGGCTCGGGCCGCTCGAGCACCAGCAAGAAGCCGTCGGGCCGCTCGAACCAGTCCAGCAGGCGGATAACGCCGCGCGCGCCACCCGCCGCGCCCACCTTCCGCAGCAGCACCACTTCGAGGGGCACGGCCGCACCGCCCTGCGGGACACGGCGATCAGCACTCGCGGCCCGCGGCCGCGGCCCCGGCCCCGCCGACAGCCCGCCCTCCCCGGCCCCACACTTACGATGCTGCCCCATTCGGTCACCCGCTCCTTAACCACGTGCTTCACGGCCACCTGAGGGAAAGCAACGGGTCAGGCTTGGGTGGCTGGGACGAAGCGCGCGGTAGGCGAGAAACCCGTATCCTCCCGGCGGCCCAACTCACCGGGAGCCCGTCGGCGATGCGGCTGCCCGCGTAGACCGTGCCGAAGCCGCCGCTGCCCAGAACGGCGCCCACCTGGTACACCTTCTCAAAACTCTCCTTGTCCGCCTTGGCTGTAGGGACCGCGAAGGCACGGTCAGTGCGGCCCGAAGCGCCCCTGGTCCCCCCAGTCCCCGGTGCCTCCGGCCCTCCGACCCGACCCCCGGATCCCCAGCCCCTCGCCTACCCGGCTGCAGGATCTTCACCGGGAGGTGGTCCACGCCGCCCGGCCCGCAGAGGTGCGCCAGCGAGCCAAACTTAGAGAGTAGCATCGCGGGCGGCGGCGGGGCGCGGGCTCTGCACCGCCTGTCGCCGGGCTCGGCTACCCGCGCGGCTGCGGACGCGGGAGGGCGGCCACCCCGGGCCGCGCGGAGCCCCGAGCCCCCGACGGCGGCGGGAGCGGGTGGGCGGGCTCGCGGGAGCACTGGCCCTTGGAGTGATGAGACTCGCGCGGACGAGACCGTCGCGCGGCAAAGCGGCCCCGGTCAAGCCCTTCTGAACCTCGTGGACGCGCAGGAGGCCAAGTGGCTCACACGCCCCGGCCGTCTCGCCCCGGACTTTTGGGCCGCGGCCGCCCGTATCCCTCCGCGGGGGCGGGGCGAGCGAAAAACCCCGCCTCCCTCTGCCGTGTTCCAAGCGGCAGAGATGCCTCCGGGAACCCCCGAAAGGAGCCGCGGCGACTGCGGGGCTAGGCTGGGCGCCATATCCCGGGGTCGATGAGGTCCGATGGCTGGGGGCGCGGCCAGCCTCCCGGGACTAACTCGCCGTAGTAGAGCCGCGGAGGCACACGGAGTGGTGCGTCTCTTAGCGCTCGTACACACGCTTTGCGCACGCGCAGCTCCCGCGCGGGCGGTGGCCGAGGCTTTTGGGCAGGGGCCGCAGGAGCCAATGGGAGCCGGGGGTTCCAAAGGGCAGCCGGGCCTCAGCCAATAGTGGCGCGCGGGCGGGGCGGGAACTCGTGGGGGCCCGTCCCAGCCGCTCCGGGAAGGTCACCCACGACACACACGCCTTCTCGGATCCCGGAGCGGGAGGCTGACTCGCCGGTTGCGCGAGCGTGGGGGTCCAGAGACAGGGTAGGATTTGGAGGCGCCCCGCGCCACTGCAGTCAGGGCCCGAGTCAGCCTGGGTCCGAAGGGCCCTGGTCTGAGCCGCACCCTCCCCTCTGTCTCCAATACCAAGCAGACTCACCCGTGTGGCGTGATCCAACAGCACAGTTGCCTGCCTTGGCCCAAGGTCACTGGCCTGAGCAGCTCAGGACTCAGGCGTGTGAGCAGTCCTGTGCTAGCCCCGGTGGCTGAGCCCCCGACTCCCACTGCCTCTCACACCGGTCCCAGAAGGGGCTGGGGGAGCCAAGACGCCAAGGTATTGGTCCTCACTGCATTGCAGGTGCTCCCGGCAGGCCCTGGAGTGACCCCCAAGCATGCACGGGGCTGGCCTACAGAGCACACCTGACCTTCCCGAAGTCGCACCCCTTCACTGCCATCGTCGCTATTCCAGCACAGAAAGTGACCCCTCTGCTGGTATAGCTCCCAGGTCCTTGTCTTACTGATGTCCTGCCCAGCACTCTCCTGCAGGGTGGGCCCACGTGGGTAGGGCTGGGGCTGGACAATTAACCGTGGGCCCCGGGCCAGTGTGGGCTTCCCCACTGGGTCAGATCCAAGGTAGGACACCCCGGCCCAGCCCTTCAGCACAATCCTGTGAGGGAGGACCCTGCCCTCCGCCAACCCTGACAGCAGGTACCCTCAGGTCAAGCTATTGTGGGTTCCCAGACCTACAGAGGTGCTGGAGAGTGTTGTGGGTCCAGCCGGGGACCCCGTCAGGAGAGGCAGTCTGACTCAGCTGAGAGGGGCTAAGCTCCCCAGTGCCTCCCCAGTGGGCCCCCAGCCCAGCTGGTCCCAGGACTTGGCAGCCAGCACCCCCATGAACCCCACCAGCTTGGCCTGAAGGCCTGGGTTTCCCCCAGCTCAGAAAAGTGGGCATTCACACTGCTGCTGGGAGGGGCGGTGTGTGTGCCCTGCCTCTGAGCACCCCAGCTCTGAAGGGGGTCCCTGGGACCGGGAATGCCCTGGCCTGGCCTCGGAGTGCAGGAGAGAGCAGGGGGTGGGCGGCCTCCTTCCTGGGCAAGGGTCTCCACCAAACCTCCACCCCCTCACCCCCCACCCCCTGGTGCTGCTGTGTGTGTCTCAATTGTGCTGCCGCAGAAGTCTCGTGTGTGTGTGTGTGTGTGTGTGTGTCCCACTCCAACGACGAGCTCTCAGTGAGTTCAGAACGGACCTGCCTTCCACACTCCCCACCCCCAGCTGTTGTCCCTTCAGGCTCCGTCTGGCCCAAGGAGTGGGCTGGACAGGGGTCCTGGTATCTTTCTGCTTGTTCAGCCACCAGGGCCCCCATGTCTGCTCTGGTATTGGGGGGCCTGCTACCCCAGATGACCCTGCCCAGTGGGCAGGACTCAGGCAGGGTGCTCCTGCCTCACCCTACCCCTACCCTGCGAGTGGGTACCCTGTTTCTCAGCTTGGCGAACCAAGACTCTGAGGGGCTTGCCCAGCTGTGGAGCCCCTACCTTCCTGGTATGGGGTAGGGGGGGCGGGCAAAGCCAAATCTGAGAACTAAGAGCCCTTTGCTCTTCCGCCCTGGGCATGGCCCTCTGTTAAGTGACCCCAGGCCACCCCTTCCCCGCAGGCCTGAGCCACACACACCCCCAGCCGAAGCCCTGGCTGCACAGGATGCCCATCCCCTGTCTCTTTCTGGTTCCTGGAAGGCCCATCCGGCGGGCCTTAAAATAGCTCAGCCCCACCGGCAGGCTTGGCCCGGTCACCAGCTCCGCAAGCGGCAGGCGGCAGGGAGAGGCCATCAGGAGGAGAATGGTTGGGGCAGAGGCATCAGGTCCTCTGCCCCACTGACCCAAGAGGGCCAGCTCTCTACCCTGGTCTTCCGCTACCCCTAGGGTGCCCGGGGCCCAGGCCAGCGGGGCGCAGCCGCCTCTTCAAGTTCCTGTTCCTCCTGGCAGGTGATTCCCAAGGAGAGGATTGGCCAGATCCCGCCTCAGGGCTGCACGTCCACCCCCCAAATGCCCCGCACAGCCAGCCCCACCAGGTCACCCTGTCCTGCTGGCGGGAGGAGCTGCACTGTTGCCATGGTGACTGGAGCTTGGCTGGCCTCCCCGGATTAGGGAGGAAGAGGAGACTGGACAAAAGGTGGCCTGGGCCACTCACACTGTCTCCCATAGGTGCACACGCACACGCACAGAGACCAGGCAGGAGGGTGGTCTGCTGTCTGGGGGAGCGAGGGGAGGGCTAGGAAGAGCTGGGGACAGGGGTGCCAGGGGACAGATGGGCCAGCTGCAGAGGTCTGAGGGAACCTCTCAGCCACAGGCTTTGGCCATGGATGTGGGCAGGTCCGGGTCCCCCAGGCACGGCCCAAGTTGAGGGGCACTGGGAGCCAGGGCAGGGCGAGCAATGTCACAACCACAGACCGGCAGTGACCGCGGAACGCTGCAGATGGCTCCTCAAAACACGAGAAAAACATACACAGAGACAACCAGGTCCTGTGGAGAAATAGGGACGGAACGGCCACTTTCTCTAGTGGGGAGCGCCTCTTTCTCTCCCCCCTAGTAGGCCTTTATTGGGTTCGTGTACACAGGAATTCAGGTAAAGCTCATTAAGCATTGCCAGGAAGTAGGGATCAAACAATAGATAACAAGGAAGTCTGAGGGCCTATGTTGATTCAGGGTCAGAGAGCTAAAGAGCTGTAAAAAACTTTGAGGAACAAACTTACTTCTTGCTTGGACCATGATCATTTCATTGAGAGCATTCTAAACAAAGCAGATTTCACAGGATTTTACATATTCTTTCTTAGCCCTGATCACGGGGCGGGGGGGGGGGGGGGACCCGCCCTTCCCAGCCCAGGGCTGCACCACCCTCTGTCATTGTCATTGTTTCAGGCTTAGGTGGAGCAAGGGAAGTAAGGCAGCCAGGAGATTAGGAGATTTTCTCGCAGACAATGAGGACTCAGGCTGTGTCAAAGCCGAGGGGCGAGGGTCCATCACCCTCTTTTGCTGTAGCCCCCAAAGTCCTTCCCTGGGGCCTCCCACGTGATGGTGCCTGTCTTAGGTCGTTCCCCCCTTGGGGAATCTTACCCGTCATTGTCTAACCTACCAAGCATTGGGGGCCAGCTATGGATGAAGTAAAAGGAGCAGAAGCAGCACTCCTGCCAGGGAGATAAGCTTTTGTGTCCTTGGTGGCTCATGGTCCAAGGTCATTCCCTCAGCCTCAGCCCTGGTGTGGGTTACAGCTTCTGACACCAGGCAGGGCGGCTCCCAACAGAGCAAGTCTGTGGGACGTGGGAGCACAGCTGGGAAGGGGCCAGCGGAGGGGCCTGGGCGGTTGGCGTGGGGACGGCTGCACAGGGAAGGCCTAGGGGGCTGCAGGGGGCAGGCAGGACGGACACCAGGAAACTAACAGACCTCAGGATCGGGGAGCAGGACCCCGAGTCTGCGTGCCCCTGTTACCATGCCCTAGTTCCACGTGCACGTTTGTAAGTGTGTGATGGTCTGTGCGTGGATGGGTGTGGTGTGCGTGTGCACCTCTGAGTGTGTGTGCGTGTGTCATGCTGAGCCCCCTCTGGCCTCCACCCCCATTGCTGGATGGGCTGGATGCCCCTGACAGTGTTCTGCTTCTTCGCGTAGGTGCCCACCCCATCAGGACCCCCCGAGGGGCCCTGGCGCTATGGCCTGGCTAGCCTGCAGGCAGCAGATGGGCCGCCCAGCCCTCCCCCCTCCCTGCCGGGCGCCTGCCGCCTCGCCGGGCGGGGGCTGGGGCTTTCCCTCTGGCCTCCACTCGTCTCCGCTGCGCAGCATCACAGCCTCTTACCCAGCGGGAGGGGAGCCAGCAGGGCCAGGCTCGGGTTTTGCAACGTCCCCCAAAGGCGTCCCAGGGAGGGCCTGGGCTGCCGTGGGGGCAAATCAGTGGGAGCCAGTGGGTGGTGCCCGCGTGACCTCTGCCCTGGGATGAGGCCAGGCCGCCCCAGGCGGTGGGCACAGCGTGGGCACTGGGCCAGCTCCCCGGCCGCTCCTCTGAGGACTCGGACCTCTGCCTCCTCTTCCCCGTTCCTTCCCCCGCAGTGCCTTCTCCCTCCTTCCCTTGGGACCCTCCCCTGGCCCAGCCTCAGTACCCCCAGACCAGCCTCCACTCTGCCGCGGACCCACGCCAGAGCCATGGCACACCCTGGCCTCGCCCGGCCTGTGTCCCCATCTGTGGGGACTCCGTGGCCACCGCTGTGCGGGCCAGTGGAGGGCCCAGTGAGCTCTCTGTGGGGTGCTTCTGCCGGCACAATCGGATAAAGCCATGGTGGCTCCGGCTGCTGCGGACCCTGGCCCCAATGTCACTGCAGGGTCCGGGGGGTGGCGGGGCTGATGCTGAGGCCCTCAAGGTGTAGGAGCCCAGACTGGGGGGGCCAGGGGGTGGGCGGGTGGGCCCCTCTCTGGGCGGCTGGGGACAGAGCTGGCCTCTGAGGCTCCCCCTGAACCCCAGAGGCTGGACAGACTCTCAGACCCCA